CCTGTGGAGGGCCCAGGGATGCTGCCTCAGAGAGGCAGCCGACTCAGTCTCTAAGAAGGATTCAGTGAATGAAGGAAGGAGGGTGTGTTCTGTACTTAAGAAAATAGATTTTCTCCATTTTATTACAATATGATGAGATGCCAATCCTATGTGATGGCATTGAGGAGCTGCTGCAAACAGCAGATTCCCGCAGAGCTGGGTAGACAGCCCTACCCCAGAGGCATTTTCTGACTCTAACGTTCTATGTAGCAAGGAGCCAATGAGTAAAAGTACTGTCACAAAAGTTTGAGAACCTATTATATGAAAGTCACAGCCCTGATGAAGCAATGTGTCCCCTGACCTATTTTACATTACCTTGTCAAGGTCAGAGAATAACAGAATAAATACAACGTGTGGCAAGAAGTGTAAAGAAAACCAGAAAGACAGGGAATAAATGTTTGTGAGGACTGGGAGACCTTACTCTGTAGAGGGGCTAGATGAAAGCCTTCCTGAGGGGAAGATATCTAAGCTAAGAGCTGAAACCTACACATATGAGACAGGGCTGACCTTCCAAAAAGCAGAGAAAGTGTTACTGTCAGAAGAGACAGCATGTGCAAAGGCTTGACAGGAAGACCTGCTTAGATTCGAGGAACTGGAAGTAGACCCATGCATCTGAAGTGTGGTGAGCAAGCAAGAGAACCGCAGTTAAATCACGGAGTAGGGCGAGGGTCCCTGTTGAATGTGCCTGGAAGAGTAGGCAGGCGCACAAGACTTGGCTTCCCAGCAAGCATGTCAAGCTCGCGGCCCACAATAAATATTTTTGCAGCCCAGCCAATATAATGTATAGAGTGAGTAAAAAAACATTTAAATAAAAATTTTGTAACTTAATTTTTATAATATCCTGTTATACATAATCCTGTATAATAAAGAGGTAACATGTAAATTGACTATCACACCCTCCACAAGATGGCCACCCCATGTGATCACAAGATGGCCAACAGGGGAGGGCATTTGGGGGCAACCAGGCCTGTAGGGGAGGGAGGGCAGTTAGGGGCAACCAAGCAGGCAGGGGAGGGCAGTTAGGGGCAACTGGACCAGCAGGGGAGGGAAGTTGGGGGTGATCAGGCTAGCACAGGAGTGGTTAGGGGGTGAGCTGGCTGCCAGGCAGAAGCGGTTAGGGGCAATCAGGCAGGCAGGTGAGTGGTTGGGAGCCAGCAGTCTCCAACAGTGGGATCCGGCCTAAACCGGCAGTTGGACATCCCCCACGGGTCCCATATTGGAGAGGGTGCAAGGCTGGGCTGAGGGACACCCCCCACAGTTACAAATTTTGTGCACCGGGCCTCTAATTATTAATAACTATAATGTTCGATAATGACTGATTACTATAATTGTGTTGCACCCCATCCTCCCTTCCTGCACACACCCCGGATTTGAGGCTGATCCTGAAGCTATCCCTTTCTGTGAAGAGCAGGGGAGGTGGTGTCCTGGAAGAAGCGCCCTGGTGCCCAAGCTTACTGTGCATGCCCAGCCACTTGCCAACCAGGGCAGGCCCATCTAACCCCATTTCCTGCTCTTTTATTACCAGGTCCTGTGGGACCCACAGCCGATGGAAACGTGGGAATGCAGCCCAAGAAACGCACTGCAAAGCGCGCCCATACTCTGCAGCCCCATCAGAATGCACGGCCCTGGGATCCTCTGAAAGCCTTTGGAATCTCAGCGCGCCCTCGTGTGGAGAACTTCGCAGTTCACAGGCACCTTCAGAGGCAGATACAACTCAAGGACCGAGATCCCAAGCAGACAGGTCGCGGCGGGCCTCGGGGCATCAGTGACTGAATTTTGGAATACTTGCTCCTCGGTGTCCTCCTCCCTGGGCGCACAGACCGCAGTCACTTGAAGCCTGGGGCAGCCGGTCCGAGTCAGCGGCCTTCAGCAATGACAGGGAGGAACATGACTGCCATCCGCAAAAGTTGAGACTCAGGGTCAGGGCTGGAGCCCGGGATGCACCCCCTGGCTGTCTGCAGCCACGCAGTCCAGTCCGGAGACTACTCTTGCGCAGCCGGCGGCACCGCACTTCCTTTCACAGGGCTTTCCCAGTCATCAGAAAGGCTGTCAACCAGCCCCTCATCCAACCCATTCTCCATCTGCTTGTGGTACCGGTCCCACTGTGGGCAGGTTTTTCTCCCCCTCTCCGAGGGGTCGCAGCTCTGCACTTCTCCATTCGCAAGGCGAAGGGACACAGTTGGCTGTGGTTTGCCCAAAGCCTGGAGGCTCCATTGGGCTGGAGCAGCCTCTCTCGGGGCCTGTCTTGGTGCGTGTTTTACCTCTGCAGGATTTAGTTCAAGAACCCCTGTGGGGAGAGAATGAAGGAGGGATGGGAGCAGCCTGGATGGAGGAGAGCAGCACCTAGCAGGAGTCAGGGCACCAAGCCCTTCCACCCTCTGCACCCCATGGTTGGGCAGATTACTGATGTCCCTCAGACTGTACATGAGGATGGTAATATAAATAACCTATCTCTTTGAGCTGTTACAAGGTTTGAATGAGATGATGGATGTAAAGCTCTGGATAAGCACTCAACAGCCATCAGCTACAATTGTAATGATGTCTAGACTCCTTGGAAGAGCAGGAGGCATTTGCTGACAATTGGCTCAGCCTCAGCCCCGGTGTCTCCAATGTGCTAGGCTGGTGGGCAAAGGAAGACAGGCACTCGGGATATTTTATCTTACGGGAAAGAGTTGGAAATAATGACCAATCCGGCACTTGCAACCCCTAAAACTGATTAGAGCTCCTTCGAGAAATGACTGCATCTACGTCTGAGGCAAAAAATGTTCAAAAATTGTTTGGAACTTTTTGTCATGCCAGAAAGTAAAGAAGCTATCAAAGAGTACTAGGGTTGTATCAAAAGGCCTCTCAAACTGGTTCCTCCTTCTGAAAATAAAAACCCACAGCCCTTTCAGGTTATCCTTTAAAAAAAGGAGAAAAAAAAAAAATACTCCCAAACTAATTTTATTTGGCTCCGACAGCTCAAAGATCAGACATTTAAAATATCAATAAGGATGATGTTTGCAAGAGAATGAAATATCAAATCATTTTAAATTCATAAAGGTTTTTTTTTTTAATCTGGTAAATTAGGGGAACGAACCAAGCATTAATTATGCCTTTCTATTATATATAAAAATCTACCTCACATTAAGCAAATCACAATGAGGGAAAATTTCTATTTATAAAAGCATTCCACTTAACGAGTGCATAAATGATGTTAGAATTAGAATATCTGCCAGTCTGCCACACAGATGAATTAATGGAGCTCAGCATAACCATCAGTGGTTGCTGACATCACAGTAAAAAAAAAACAGCATCCCCTCTAGCCCATGTTGCCTAATGGTCATAGTGGCGTGTGGACCAAAGGGTGGTCCATGGGTTTGATTCCCGTACTTGGGTTTCAGGTTCGATCCCCATCCTGGTCCAGGTCAGAGTGCATGTGGGAGGCAACAGATGTGTCTTTCTCACATCCATGTTTCTCTCTCTCTCTCTCTCTCCACCCCCCCCTTCTCCTGCCCTTCTACTCTCTCTTAAAAAATTATCCTCAGGGGGGATTTACATAACAAAACAACAACAAAATTAGCATCCCATGCTTCCTGATGAAACACATCACCATCTATGAGGTGGCCTTAACAAGACTGGACTTTAATCTGACCAAGCCTCTAATTTAGATCCTTATTTTCAAAAAAAAAAAAATGCAGGAAGACAGAAGAACATGTTAAAGGATTACCGTGGGGATGAAATTAGCAATATTCAGTCTGTGAGAAACCTTATAGGACAAAAAACAAAACAAAACAAAAAAAAACAAAACACCAAAACCCAGTTCTTCAATTTTATTTATTTTTTTAATATATTTTATTGATATTGTACAGAGAGGAAGAGAGAGAGATAGAGAATTAGAAACATCGATGAGAGAGAGTCATCGATCAGCTGCCTCTTGCACACCCCGGAATCGAACCTGGGACCTTTCTGTCCCCAAGCCGACGCTCTATCCATTGAGCCAAACTGGTCTAGGCCCAGTTCTTCAGTTTTAAAATTTTGCAAGAAAAACAATGGAGGAGGAAACTACCAATTAACAGAGTCATAAAAGACAAAATAATGGTTCCAGCTATCTACACTTATGTAACAAATCACTCCCAAACTCAGTGCCTTATCACAGGAACAATATTAAATTTGCTCATCAACCTGTCACTTGGGAAGGGATCTTCAGGATAATTCATCTGTGCTCCACTCAGTTAGCTGGGATGACAGGGAGGTTCAGGAGTGTAAGAATCACATCTCTGTAAATCTGTTGTGCCTTTTTATTGCATTCAGCCTTGAAATGTTACTTAACTGTTTCATGTGACTAAGATTGTCTCCCAACTAAGCTCTGAAGGAAAAGGACTGGATTGGACACTTTTTTTTTTTTTTTATGTTCTCTTTGATGCCCAGATGCTATGGTCTGAATGTTTGTGTTCCCCCGCAAAAAACTCATATGTTGAAACCTCATCACCAATCTGATGGGGTTTGGACATGGTTAGGTCATGAAGGCAGAGCCCTCATGAATGGGGGAATGAGTGCTCTGACAAAAGGAGCCCCAGAGAGATCCCTCACCCCTTCTGCCAGGTGGTGGGTGTTCCCCAGACACTGAGTCTGTGGCCCCTTGATCTTGGACTGCTCTGCCTTTCAGAAATGTGAGAAAGACATCTTTGTTGTTTATAAACCAACCAACCAATCTACCGTGGCTTGTTATGGCAGCTCGAATGAACTAAGACATCAGATCAGAGTCTTCACATCGTAGGTGTTCAATAAATAGGGGATGGTACATGAAGGTAGACATTTCCTTTTTCTCTGGGCTATCCCCCCCTCTTTGCTGAGGCCAGACCAATGCTTTGTCAGTAGATAGGTAGAGAAAGAGACAGAATACTTAGCAGAGAAATAAATCAAAGAAGTGAATAAACAGACACGCAGGAATTTTGCAAGATTCACGCTTTTATTCTAAATTAGGAGATATCAACTTTTTGGAGGGTTTTTTTTTTCCCAGAGCTCTTTGTGAAGCAGATAGCCTCGTTGATGCTCTGAGTGATGTAATCTATGTTGCAGGCATTGATACAGGTGAAGTTAATCCGACCGTTCTTGGGGATGTAGATATGTTTCTTCTTGACCAAGTATTCTATCTGTTGGTCTTGTGATAATCACAGGATCTCAGATCCTGGGATAACCACCTCTAAGTCCCCTCTAGCCCAGTGTGGATTATAGGGGATAGGGAGCATCAGCACTTGTGGGAGGCCATAGGGGGTCTTCAAAGCAGCTCCACTTTCCTCAAAGGAGATTCAAAATCTGGTGTGAAGCTAGGGACTGGTCACCTAATCAGTGGAGGTGAATATTCAGATACAAGCCCAAGGTCAGAAAGGGGCGCGCTTTCTACTCCTAGACACTTACAGTTGAGCCCAAGATAGCCATGGGTCCCATTCTGATTAGTGATGTGATCCCAGGAGCCAGGCGTCCCCAGGAGCCGGAGCTTCTCTTTAACCTTTTCTTTGATGAGCAAAAGGTGTTCTGCGACCTCTCTTAGACTCAGCTTCCTGTCAAAGGAAGGACAGCAAGAAATTAGAGTGTGAGGGTTCCCCCCGCTCCCAGTCTCCTCATTGCCATTCCACTCCTCTTCCCAGAGGGCACACCAATGGAGTCAGGGATCTCAGATGGCTACAAAGGGGAGGAAAGTTTCAGCTTGTATTAATTTAAGCAGGCCAAGCAGACTCTTGGGCAGATTTTGGTAGAGTAGCAAGCTCTTGGGGCTTCCTAATCTCCTGCAATCTGAAAGAGTTCAAATAATTCATCAGTCTGTGTCCCATCTTATTACCCATTTCCCCTTAGTAGGGCAACAGTTGGTTGGCATAGCCATTGCCCTTGGAACACAGAGGGTCCTCAGTAAATGTTTATGAATGAATGGAGTACAGAGGCAAGAAGAGAAGCACCCAGTTGAATCCTGTGAATCAGGAAGTATGTAGGTATCTAGAGCCTGTGCCCATCCACCCCTGCCCCCACCCATCTCCCTTACCATGCTTCATGCAGAGCAGGGTTACAGAGGATGGAGGTGATAATGCGCGCCCCCGAGGTGGGAGGGTTTAGCCACAGGGCCAACGCAAAGTTCATCAGCTGGGAGAGGACACACAGCAGGAGCTGGTTGTTGCGTGTCACCACGGCTAGAATCCCCACTCCTTCATCTGCAGCATGGAGACAAACAGCCTTGTTCTCAGTCTCCTCTACCGGGGCCTTCCCCTGTAACTCTGCCTCCAACCTTACCGAAGAGAGGATAACCTCTAGGGCCCTCATCCCAGCCTAGTCACGCTAGTGTCCAGGCCCTTGGAAGTTGCCAGAGGCTCTTCTTCCAGGAAGTGTAACTGTAAGAGTCTCAAAGGCAGAAGAGGCTAGAAAGATAACTGATTCTTAACCCCTCCTCTTATAGATGATGAAATGAGATCTAAGGGGGGAAAAACAATGCAACTGGTGCCACTTTTCATAACTGAGCTGAGATGATGGCATGGAATCAGATGTCCAGCGCCTCTCCGTGCCCCCATGCTGCCCTCATAGGAGGCCTTGGCTCTCTCCGCAGGGTAGAGAGTGTGGAGCGTGCCATGGGTGTGGCAGCACTTCATCACCAGACCCTCCCTTCTCCCTCTGCCCATGCCATACCATAAATGCCAAAACTCTTGGACAGAGACTGGCTGCAGAAGAATTCAAAGCCTTCGGACACGAAGTATTGTAAGAATTTAGTATCTTCTTCCAGGTCACCGGTAGCTAAACCTTGATAGGGGATGTCAAAAAATAGGAATATCCGCTTTCTCTATAGGAGAAAGGAGAATGAAAAAAAGGGCGAGACTGATGAAAGGCATGGTAGATGGTGAGAGGGAGGAAGTCAGGTGAGACACTGGACTCACCTTCATGGTGGCCATCAACTTTGTCCATTGATATTGTGTCATCTTGCAGTGGTCAATGTTCCCGATCACAAAGATACAGCCATATGGGGCCTGCTATAGGTAGAGACTGTCTCATCAGGCACTGCCCCTACTAGGCAGTAGAGGCACCGAAGTGTTGGAGGAGAAGTGATCCTCCAAGTTGGTTTCTAGCAAAGCACTAGACAAAGCCTAGAGAAGGCCTTGGATAATTAGACAGGTGGGGAGGAAAGGAAAATACAACTGTAGGTCAGGTCTGGGGGAAAGTTTCTGAGGGTGGCCTCTCTACCTTCACCACACTGAAGAGCATATTGGAGTCCATGCACAGCTGCTCAGGGTCCCAGAAGGAGAATTCAAAAACTGTAAAACCCATGTCCTGGAAGATGAATCCATGATGTTCTGTGGGAACACAGCCCCCCACCAGCTGTTACGGGAAGTGGAGAGATGGAAGCAGACACACCAGAGAATGGCCTTGAGGGTCAGGGTTGAAAATGGAGCAATGACAAGAAAAGGGCAAGCACACCTTGGCTTGTCCACCATTTGTCATGACAGAGAATGAGAAGGACAACAGTGAAGAATATAAATAGGCTGGGAATCAGGAGCGGGAGTGGGATCTTCTGTCACCCTCACCTGGCATAACACTCACCTATTTGAGAAGAAATGACGTAGACTATTTGAGAATCCTGACGCCAAGTTTTGAGGAACTGGGCCCCAAGTTGGAAGGCACCACTGTCACCAACAGTGTGCACACCCCCTGCCTGACAGCAAAAGAAATAAACAGAACAATTTTAAAGAGTAATGGTGATACTAGTACCCCCTCAGATTCAGATCATTCCTTTTTTTAAAAATATATTTTATTGATTTTTACAGAGAGGAAGGGAGAGGGAAAGAGTTAGAAACATTGATAAGAGAGAAATATTGATCAGCTGCCACTGGGGATGTGTCCGCAACCAAGGTATATGCCCTTGACCTGAATCGAACCTGGGACCTTTCAGTCTGCAGGTCGATGCTCTACCCACTGAGCCAAACTGGTCTCAGCCAGATCATTCCTTTCTTGAGAGAATTTGCACACTGTGGGCTGGTGCCAAGAGCATGGGCTTGGGGTTCTGATGCTGGCTCTGCCCTTCAATGACAAGCTTTGGACTCTATGAGTCTCACAAGTTTCCTTTGTCAATGCCGGGGGCAGTGGGGTCCAAAGTCCCTTTCAGGTTTAAGATTGTGCAAACTCCAATTCCCACACCCTGTGTCTGGGTGGGCAAAGGAGGAGCCCTTCTTCTCACCCTGTTCTCCACAATGACTTGGCTGTGCTTTCCAAAGAGAAGTCTCAACGAGGCCTGGATGAATGATTTCATGCCCATCACCGGTAGATACTCGTAGTTCAGGGAGGGATCCTGGGCGAGCTGCAGTCGGATTTTGTGCACCACAAAAGACACCCAGGGCTGTCCTTCCTGGGTCATGCAGACTGTGAGAAGAACCGTAAAGGGTGCTCTGGAGGCCTCTGGGCTCTGCAGCCAGCCCACAAGCAATTCATCTGTCCCTGCCTTCCTGAAGCTTTGGAAAGTTGCCTAGAAAAAGACAACTTTCCTTCCCACCTCTCCCTTTTATAAAAGCAATGTGCTATTAGTAAATATAATTTTTTTTATTTATTTATTTTTTTAATCAATCTTTATTGTTCATATTATTACAAAGGTTCCTCATTTCTTCCCCCCTCCACCAGGTTCCCACCCCACCCTCCGTCCCCCCCCCCATCCCCCATTGTCCTCATCCATAGGTGCAGTTTATGTTCAGTCTCTTCTTCCCTCAATTTCCCCAATAGTAAATCCCTTTTCAGATAGTAAATCAGTTACTTAGCATTTTCTCATATCAATAATACCTCCACATGCCCAATGATACACTTCACACAAAAGACATTTCCCACTAGGTCAACCAGCCTCAACCAGGCCCCACCCAAGGCACTCACAGATCAACACCCCAGTCCTAAACTAACTCAACACATCCAGATCTAAGCCTTCATCACTTGATTCAGCAGACCCTCAAGTTCCCACGAAAGTTTCCAGCCATGTCTGAGAAGCAGCCGTGGGGCAGGGGCAGGCAGGGAGCGAGCTGTTCTGGGCCTGGCTGCTCAGGGCCTGGCCTCTGTTGCTCTGGTTCATTCCACAACCAGCTGCTCCGGGTCTGGTCACTGCCGCTCCCGACCTAGTTGCTCTGGACTTGGCTGCTGCTGCTCCGGGCCTGGCCGCTCCCAGCCTGGCAGCCGCTGCTCCAGGCCTGGCCGCACCCGACCCGCCTGCTCCCCCGGGCCTGGCCGCTCCCAGCCTGGCAGCCGCTGCTCCGGGCCTGGCCGCACCAGCCCCGCCTGCTCCCCCGGGCCTGGCCGCTCCCAGCCTGGCAGCCGCTGCTCCGGGCCTGGCCGCACCAGCCCCGCCTGCTCCCCCGGGCCTGGCCGCTCCCAGCCTGGCAGCCGCTGCTCCGGGCCTGGCCGCACCCGACCCGCCTGCTCCCCCGGGCCTGGCCGCTCCCAGCCTGGCAGCCGCTGCTCCGGGCCTGGCCGCACCCGACCCGCCTGCTCCCCCGGGCCTGGCCGCTCCCAGCCTGGCAGCCGCTGCTCCGGGCCTGGCCGCACCAGCCCCGCCTGCTCCCCCGGGCCTGGCCGCTCCCAGCCTGGCAGCCGCTGCTCCGGGCCTGGCCGCACCCGCCCCGCCTGCTCCCCCGGGCCTGGCCGCTCCCAGCCTGGCAGCCGCTGCTCCGGGCCTGGCCGCACCAGCCCCGCCTGCTCCCCCGGGCCTGGCCGCTCCCAGCCTGGCAGCCGCTGCTCCGGGCCTGGCCGCACCCGACCCGCCTGCTCCCCCGGGCCTGGCCGCTCCCAGCCTGGCAGCCGCTGCTCCGGGCCTGGCCGCACCCGACCCGCCTGCTAGTAAATATAATTTTTTTAAATGTTTTTATTGATTTTAGAGAGAGAGAGGAAGGGAGAAAGAAACACCGACCAGAGCTGCCTCCTGCATCAGGGATCAAATTCATAATCTGGGATTATGGTCAAAAATGGAGCAATGGCCGGAACCGGTTTGGCTCAGTGGATAGAGCATAGGCCTGTGGACTGAAAGGTCCCGGGTTCGATTCCCGTCAAGGGCATTTACCTTGGTTGCGGGCACATCCCCAGTAGGGGGCGTGCAAGAGGCAGCTGGTGGATGATTCTCTCTCATCGATGTTTCTAACTCTCTATCTCTCTCTCTTTCTCTTTGTAAAAAAAATCAATAAAATATATATATATTTTAAAAATGGAGCAATGACAGGAAAAGAACAAGAAAACATTGGTCAGGAATAGAACCAGTGACCTTTTGGTGCACAGGATGACACTCAACCAACTGAGCCACACTGGCCAGGACCATTTTTTGTGGGGGTTTTTGTTTTGTTAATCTTCACCTGAGGATATTTTTCCATTGATTTTTTTAGAGAGAGTGGAAAGGAGGGAGAGAGACAGAGAGAAACATCAATGTGTGAGAGACACATTACCAATTGGTTGCCTCCTGCACTTGCCCCAACCAGGGCCGGGGATCAAGCCTACAAATGAAGTATATGCCCTTGACTGGGATCAAACTCAGGACCCTTCAGTCCTCAGGCTGATGCTCTATCCACTGAGCCAATTTTTGTCTTTTTAAAGAAAGAAGACAACTAAAACCTATGAGTCATTTTAAAAGGCAAAAATTATATACAGCCTGGGAGTAATAAATACCTGAGATTAAACAATAGTAACACTGACTTACACAGTGGCAAGCGCTCTCTGTATATCAGAAGAGTCAATTTGGAGAACCATTCTTGGTTCAGGAACAGAAAGGGGGTGGAGGAAGAGGCAGAAAAACGTGCTGTGCTCATGCAGGCGCCACATACAGCTGGGGAAGAGGATATACCAGAGCTTGTATCAAACCTCTGGAAGGCCCCAAAGAAAGGCAGAGGGCACGGAATGACCCAGGATGTTTTCTGCTCTTTCGCCCACTGGGAGAAGCTTGGGTGATATTCCTGATTCCTCTGTAGCAGTGGAATACTACCCCCTAGAGGCGATTATGATACACTAAGTCTTAGGCATCTACCTTTATAGGCCAGGAACATCTTTTTAGAGGAGTCGTCTTGTTTGTAGATCTTTAACAAACTGCCTTCTAGCTTCTGAGCTGGGGGAACATCCAAGAACACTGAAAGGGCAGTCATCACTGAGATGAAAGTAGAACCAGGGTTATGACTCCACTCCTAGGCTCTCTCCTACGTTTTGCCACAAGGCTTCCTCTATGTCTGAGCTTCCCTAGCCTGCCTCTTCCCAGAACCCTGGCAGTTCCAATACAGAGGCCCCACACAATTGGTCGCCAGAGCAACAGAACCCAACTCCCAGTCTCCGTGGTGGCAATCCTCAAGGACTATGGAAATATTCCGTGGCTCTTGAGAAGAATCCCTGAGAGACGGCTAGGGGAAGAGGTAGGGAAGACCTGGAATTCTCAGGCACTTCTCCCTAACTCATTTCCTTCTCCTCTCTAACCCCAACTCGCCATAACCAAGATAACAAGTCAGCCCTTCAGAAGATAGGCAATACCTAGAAATAAATAAAAATGAACACACAACAACCCAAAATCTATGGGATACAGTGAAAGCTGTTCTGAGAGAGAAGTTCGTAGCATTACAGGCCTGCCTCAAGAAGAAAGAAAAATTTCTAATGAACATTCTAACCCTACACCTAAAAGAACTAGAAAGAGAGCAACAAGAAGAGCCCAGAGTAAGCAGAATGAAGGAAATAATAAAGGTTACTGTGGAAATAAGTGACATGGAGTCTAAAAGAACAATACAAAAGATCAGTGAAGACTTGGTTCTTTGAAAAGATAATTGGTGATACTAGTACCACCTCAGATTCAGAACATTTAGCCAGACTCACCAGAAAACAAAAAGAGAGGATCCATATAAGCAAAATCAAAAATGAAAGAGACAAAGTAACGACTGACATCATAGAAATACAAAGGATTGTAAGAAAATACTATGAACAACTATATGCCAATAAATTGGACAACCTGAGCAAAATGGACAGATTCAGGAAGAATCAGAAAACCTGAATAGACCAATAACAATGAATGAAATTAAAGCAGTAATCAACTACCAGCAGTCTGGCCAGTGTGACTCAGTGGTTGAGTGTTCACCTATGCACCAAGAGGTCCCAGTCAAGGCACATGCCCAAATTATAGGCTGGTTCCCCAATAGGGGGCATATAAGAGGTAGCCAATGGATGTTTCTCTCTCATCAATGTTTCTTTCTCTCTCTCTCTAAAATCAATGAAAACATATATAAAAATAATAATAAAAATAAAAATAAAAAAACTCTCAGAAAACAAAAGTCCTAGACTGGAAGGCTTCACAGGAGAATTTTATCAACCATTCAAATAATAACTAACACCTATCCTTCTCAAATTATTCCAAAAAAAATTCAAGAGAAAGGAAGACCTCTAAACTCTTTTCATGAGGCCAGCATTATTCTATTTCTAAAACCTGATGAAAGATACTACAAATAAAGAAAATTATAGGCCAATATCCCTAAGGAACACAAATGCTAAAATCCTCAGCAAAATAGTAGCAAACCTACTGGATCCAGTAATACATTAAAAAGATCATACACCATGACCAAATGGGATTTATTCTGGGGATGCAAGGCTGGTACAATATCTGTAAATCAATAAATATTATACATTATATAAAATGAAAGATAAAGATCACATGATCATATCAATAGATGCAGGGGAAAAGCACTTGATAAAATCCAGCACTTATCTATATTTACAAAAGCCAAGCGACAAGAAAGATCAGAACAACAGGAATGACCAGTTGCTATGAAGCCCAATCAGGGGTGAGGCCAACCTGCCAACCTCCTGCGGCCCCTCCCTCCATCCAGCCCCATCCCCAGTTGGCCCCCACACCAGGGGTGGGGCTGGCTAACCTCCCGCAGGGACTGCTCTTCTCCCTGCCAGCCTGGCCATGATAGGTCCTAATCAGAGTGGGCCAGCCGGACCCCACCTGTGCAAGAATTCATGCACTGGGCCTCTGGTTTGTGATAAAAATTCTCAACAAGGTGGGAATAGAAGGTTCATACCTTAACAAAATGAAGACCACGTATGAAAAACCTACAACCAATAACATACTCCATGGGGAAAAACTAAAAGTATTTCCCTTAAGATCAGGAACAAGACAGGGATGTCAGTCCCAGTCCAATCCAGAGTGTCACAGTGTCATCAGGGTCCCAGAGTCATTCTCTGTGGTCCCCTTGGCTCTGCCTTCTGAATGCTTCAGCTTTGGTCTCCAGCTGACTGGGCATGGGAGTAAGAGTGAATGTGGTATGTGTGCAAAATCACATGCATTTGAGGAAATGTTATTGCAACTGTATGATGTGCTGTTAACGTTAAAAAAAAAAAAAAAAAGCATTCAAACCTATAAAAAATTTTTGTGAGTTTATTTGAGCCAAACCTTGTTTTTACATGACAATCAAAGGAGGAGAGATGAGACATGAAGGGAGGAAACCTCTGGGGTTGGGTAAAAGTAAAATGATAGAGGTATACTTGTTTTACTTAGGTTGGTGCAGGATAGTTAACAGTCAACAATTAACAGGACAATAACAATGAAGGAATTTTATTTCACCCTGAGGAATCTGGAAAAAGGTAAGTTATAAGTTACTCTGATATTTCACAGATATGTTATCTTAGATGCAAAAGGACAATAGGCTCAATAAAGATTGAAGTTGATTTTTGTCAAGGAAGATACTAGCCTAGGACTTGACTACACACTATAAACTATTTTTTAATTAAAGGCTTTTAATTTCAAACCATTCTTTGTGGTTACTTTAGATCTCTTGAATTTGCCAGGCTTCTATGTAGGCCTTCCCTGCGTTAGCCAGGTTAGCATGTGGCCCTTTTTTCATCCACAGTACAAATAAACTAAATGTCAGTCACTGAAGGATGCTTAAATAAATAATGGACTATCCACAAAATGGAATTCTGCACTACTGTTAAAGGCAAACCTATGTGTGTAGCTGTGGAAAATCTCCAAGAAACATCATTAAATAAATACAACAGTGTAAAGAATAAAGAGCAAAGAGTGGGCTATTGGGGGAAGAAATAAAAGATACACTTGCATGTGCATGCTTGGATATGGACAGACTCTCTGGAAGGACACACAGAAGCACGTCACTATGAATTCCTCTGGAAAAAGTAATTCAGTGGCCGTTGGACACAGACAGGGGAAAAGGCTGATTTGCTTTTCACTGTATACTACTTTTGTACTGTTAAATCACATGCATAAATTTCCCATTCAAAAACAATTTGTTTTTTAATGGCTGCAGCCTTTCCACACATTATATCCTTATTATGCAGAAGATCAATCATTTCTTCTCTTAGCTCCCTGAAAGGAGGAGGAAGTTTCCTTTCTGAGCTCCCCAAGCCTTCTTATTCTCTTCTTTTGTCTGCAAAGACTCCTGGCCCATCCTTGATCTTAGCGTGACTGAGCATGGGATCCTCTAGTGACTTTTACCAATCGCCTAGAGTTCAGGGTGGTGTTGAGCCCTCCCAAATTGCACAGCCAGGAATGAAACTTTGGTTCCTGAGTCCTGAGTCACTGTGCTTGCTCTGAGAAGGGGAATGTGGCTCAAGCCTGGCCTACTGGAGTCCCCTTGGAGAAGAGCCTTTCATTACTCTAGAGTCATGTGGTTATAAGGAAATGGGGATCCTAAAACTTCCAGGAGCTACTAAGGGTTGGTAAGACTGAGGGTCTGATTATTTCAGTTTCAGTTGTGATGGGTGGGCTCTATCTCCCACCAAGACTCACAAAACAGCAAATTCTCCAAATTCTAGAAAGCGGTCCACAGGCTAGACAGCCAAAGACAACAAATTTTTGCAATTATACTTTTCTCTCTTCTCCCAGTAGACTCGTTTACTGCTGGTACTTCTTATTTCACTGAGACAATAACAGCAATCAAAAGAGACTTCCACATGCTCCCATTGTAACTACCAATCTACTACATAGATACCCACCTACTCTGTCTTTTCTCTTACTACAATGCTTGGGCCCACCTATTCTGGGCCCCCATCTCAATTCAATCTTTTCCTTTGTGCCCTGGGTTCAAGCTACAATACTCTTGCAGTTGTAACTTTCTCTTCTCTCAAGCAAACAAGCAGCAAACAAACAACATTCCCTTGACCTCACGTCACCTCTGCAGCTATTACTCCATGTGTCTGTCTGGATTCAGGCAAGGAAACAGGTCTGCTGGGAGCGATATGGATATTACAGGAATTAGACCTCACGCTATTGGAGGAGGACCTGAGGAAGTGAAGGTCCAAAGAAGGGAGCGAGAGAATCAGAGAAAAATCATTAACCAGGTTGTCCTTGCCAGTGCAAGGGTAAATCAGAGCTTGCAGGGAAATTAAAAACGCCAGACACATCCAGCTGCAGGAATGGCACCAAGAAGCAGGAATGCATGGAGAGGTCCATCGGGCTTCTCTTCAGCTACCACACGTGTGGGTCTGCAGCCAAGTGTCTAGTGGTGCTCCATTGGACATTGGGGTCAACAGGTTGGAAGATGAGCTGGACAGAGAGCTGAAGATAAGTCAGAGCCCACCCACCACCTCTGCTTCCATATCTCACCTTGGAGTCCTTCAGGTATTAGTAGACTCTGCTTCACTTCTGCCTCTCAAATCTTGAGCAAGATCCTCTTTTTGAGAGGATCTAATGAGGATTCTGAGAAACAGAATGCCAGATTGACCAAAATAACAACAGGATCATCAATCACATCACATTTCTCTGGTCCTCTTCAGAGCAATAGTTATTGAGAGAACGTTTGATTCTGTCTCCATTTCTTCATCTCCCAAGTTCTGTTGAATCCCTCTGATGAGCATTTTATCCCTTCACACCATCAAGCTGCTCTCATCAAGGTAACAAATGACAGTCCTTCATCCTGTCAAATCCGAAGGTTCTCCTCTTATTTGATGTTTCAACAGCATGTGACAAAACTGACCACTGCTTCCTTAAAAACACTTTCTTCCCATGACATTCAGGATGCTACTTGCTTTTGCTTCTCCTTTCACCTCATTACTGCTGCTTCTCAGTGACTTTCTTGGTTCTTTCTATTTTTGACCTCTAAATGTTAGAATGCTCCAGGGCTCAGTCCTCTGAATTCTTTTATTTATGCCT